CCCGAATACAGCACGTATTACTTGAGGTAATATACAGTCATCTTCCTCTGATCTTTTGTCTTTTTCCTAGAGAAATCCTTTTTTTCCCTGAAACTGTTTTCAAAAAAGCTAGAAAGGTCTCTCTACAGCTGTTGTATTTTTTTTTTAAAAAAAACCTCTACATTTGCTTCAAACCTCTTCTAAATAGATGCATTTACTATTGTGTTTGTCTTCAATGGAAAAGGAATAGGACTCCTATGGTCATAGCTCTTCTTCTACACATGAAGGTCACTAACGCGTTCTCCATCATCTTTTCCTCCTTTGAATGCTGATGATGATGTTGAGTGCTTTTGACTTTTCCACATATGTCTTGCAATCTAAACCCTTTATCAATTATATCAAGCAGATTGAATTGAGGGCTATATAAAAAGGTGTGTGTTTGTGTACTTTTGTTTTGCAGGCAAGGAGATTTCCCAGTTTCTGAGGTTAAGTACTGTAGATGCATTAATAGAACTGTGCCTCTATACACTAGAAAGGCAATGTGCGAATGTAAAGCTTGTTAGACCTCCCTGTAATGGTTTTTTTTCTTCGAGAAATCAGCTCAGCTCTCTAGCAAGAGAAACCTGCTTCTCCTCTGGCATCGTGACCCGTACAGAAGAAGCAGGAGGGGAAGAGAGAAGAAGAGAAAGGGTCATACGGATGACTATTGGTTTGCTCCCACCTACCATGGGGGTTCAACCACGAACCAGTTGCAGGGAATGGAAGAATTACTTGCTGCCACTAAAGATAACCTTTCTAAGCTTTGGTCCTTGGTCAACAGCCCTAACTGCTTCTAATTGTCCGCGTGGTTCTGCTAGGAAAGAGGAGTTACCCTCTGATGGCATTCTGGTGGCCCTTTCAGTTCAAGGACAAAAGTTCAAGAAGATCCATCGATCCAAGAAAGGGTCCCTCCCACACACATTCAGTCTTGAGAATGAAATACCACACACACACACACACACAAAAGGTTTACGGTTACAGGGAAGGGAAGGGAATTCCATGCTTTAATTATGCAAAATATTTCACAATTAAACCGTCTGGAAGTGACAGGCAACAGTTGCTCAGATCTTCTCTCTTTGATGATTGTCTGTGCTTTTGACAGGAGAACATGTTCTACCGAGTGATTGGCAGGAGTGATTCAGACAATGGGGCTTCTGCACATCCCCTTTATATACTGTATATGCTTTGTTTCTGTTTTTGAATGGAGAACATGATGTTCAGTTGCGCAGAACACTGGCAAATGATGCACACTCCTTTTGGGATTGACTTGGTGATCACACCTCCTTGATTGACTCCAAGTGTGCCCGGCGTACAATGGCAGGAAAGCCAAAATAATCAGGCACGTGTGCGTTCCCTGAGTTTATGAAGTAGGATTTCAGCCGGTATGGTTTTTTAAGATTAGGTGAGGAGCAAGGCTCAGTGAGAAGCTACAGAAAGAGGAGAGCTACATCTAGTATCTGACAATATTTCCCAGTGCTGGACTTTTTGGGAAAATGGAAACTGAATGGATGTGTGGGGGTGGGAGTTTCTAGAAAAATCTATGCATTTTTAGTCACACACATTTTGTATCTGAGAGCATGGTTTTGGACACATGTTTTTCTTTCTTTCAAGACACATTTGAAATCTCAGAAGTGTAGATTTTTGAGGCATGTATTCTATTCCACCGGCGTTCTAAAAGTCATTTCACACAGAAATATAAATCTGTTCATAACACATATTCCAATCCAAGGCTTCCTCTTGGATCTGAAGAATTATTTTCGAGGAATTGATCAATTTATTTTGAGAAACATGTTTTTTTTAAAAAAATAAACAAAACAGTAGAATAAAAAGACCGATGAATTGTATTTGCTCAGTAAGAGGCTGCTGAAAGTTGCAAATATTAGTGTATCACATCTGGGGATACATTCCTGTGTTTCTCAGGAGAATTTGTGGCATCCAGAAGAGGGCCTCTGATGAGCATATCCCTGATCGGGTCAACTGGCTCTAGGTTTTAGGACTGAACTATAGAGGTCATAAAGTGCTACAGAATTGAAGTAATCTGAGACCTGCAGGGCTGGAAGGGGTCTTATGGATCAATGAGTCCAGCCCCTGTCAAGGAGATACAGTGGGAAATTGAACTCTCAACATCTGGCTAAACCACTGAGCAATCCAGAAATTTGATAATGTTTGAGTGCAACTACAACGGAGTGATGAACCTTTGTCCATACTGGCTGAGACGGATTCTAACTAGAGCACAAGAACATTTGGAGGGCTCAGATCTGTCCCTGAGAGATGACCTCCCAGACCCTGCTTAAATATCTCCAGTAAACAAACCCTCAGTGCTAGTGATAATCTGGTCCACTGGCAAACAGTTTGCCCCAAGGAAGTTTCTCCAACTCCTTAGCCTAAACCAGTGGTCCCCAACCTTGGGCCTCCAGATGTTCTTGGACTTCAACTCCCAGAAATCCTGGCCAGCAGAGGTGGTGGTGAAGGCTTCTGGGAGTTGTAGTTCAAGAACATCTGGAGGCCCAAGGTTAGGGACCACTGGCATAAACTGTTCCCTGCAATTGCAGCCTGTTGGTTTCTAGTCTGGAGCAACTGAGAACAAGTCCCCCTCTTCTGTGTTGGGCACTTTCAGATATTTGAAGAGCAGTTATCATGTTCTAAAGGAAATCATGTTCTAAAGTTATCAGTTCTAAAGGAAATCAACCCTGAATGCTCACTTGAAGGACAGATCCTGAAGCTGAGGCTCCAGTACTTTGGCCATCTCATGAGAAGAAAAGAGTCCTTGGAAAAAACCTTGATGTTAGGAAGGTGTGATGGCAAGAGGAGAAGGGGACGACCGAGGATGAGATGGCTGGACAGTGTCTGCGAAGCAACCAACATGAACCTGACACAACTCCGGGAGGCAGTAGAAGACAGGAGGGCCTGGCGTGCTCTGGTCCATGGGGTCACGAAGAGTCGGACACGACTAAACGACTAAACACACAAACACTATCATGTATGTAACCACCATCCAAAGCTGGCCCAATATAGCTATGTCTGTGTGTCTGTTTCCCATCAAAAGCATTGTCATTTCCCTACTTTTCCCGAAGAAAGAAATCAACCCGGAGAAGAAGTAAACACAAGCTCAGAATAAAAAGATGGCACCTCATTTTACTCCACTCCTCTGAGCGCTTCGTTGTGTTCTCTGTTGTGTTGGTAGGCATCGAGGCAAAGTGCGATTAAGAAAAGATTATGGAAGTTGTTTCCCTTTGATGCGCCTGTGATCAATAACAATGTAATGAGCCCATCGTAAAACAAAGTTGAGCCAGGAGGAACCAGCAATGTGAAGGGCTGTTTCATTGACATAAATTGAGTCAATAAATACTCCCTTTGTCACGCTGGAATCAGTTAAACCTTTGTTTGCTGACAACTTTGTGGGTATTGTACGCTGTGAATTATCTTGACCTGATCGCCACATATCAGAGAGTGAAGTCCTGCAACAGCAGAACTGGCGAAGCATAATCTGGCACCTTTCCTAGAAATGTGGGAATTATTAGCCCATATTTGTAGAGATTGTCATAGATATCTTTGCTGTCCTGTTTTGTTTTGCTTTAACCTTCTTAAGGTAAAAGGTATTATAGGTATAAGGTATTATAGTCCTGTTTTGTTTTGCTTTAACCTTCTTAAGTAATGTGTTATAGGTAAAAACTCTCTCTCTCTCTCTCTCTCTCTCTCTCTCTCTGTGTGTGTGTGTGTGTGTGTGTAAAGGACGAAATAACGCTATGGCACTTAAAGACTTACATTGTTCTAAGTGAGCTTTCATTGACAAATCCACGTTGTCAGATGTAAGAGGAAGAGATAAACCATGGCAGATATTTATAGTAAAGGTAAAGGTTCACCCTTGACCTTTAGTCCAGTCATGTCCGACTCTAGGCCGCAGTGCTAATCCCCGTTTCCAAGCTGTAGAGCCAGTGTTTGTCCAAAGACAGTTTCCGTGGTCACGTGGCCAGTATGACTTAGACACGGAACACCAAGACCTTCCCATCAAGGTGGTCCCTATTTATCGACTCACATTCTTACATGCTTTCGAACGGCTAGGTTGGCAGGAGCTGGGACAAGCAACGGGAGCTCACTCCGTTGCGTGGATTTGATCTTACGACTGCTGGTCTTCTGACCTTGCAGCAGAGAGGCTTCTGCGGTTTAACCCGGAGTGCCACCACGTTGCTTCCAAATACAGTATTTATACATGGCATCAAAATACAGAGATCGTAGCTGGTTAGAAAGAATGTCAGTTTAACATTGTTTAACATTGTGGCGACAGCCTCTTTGATATGCAGGAATTACATTGAAGGGAGCGCTGTAAATGATGTGAGAATTTCTGTCATAAAATGAACAATGGTAGAATAACATGAATATTAATTAGACTGGCGTTTTACAGTTGCTAATGAACTTTCCTCCACCACAGTGTAAAACCAATTGATTATAAATTGGCAACACTATTCACTTCCTGTTGTAGCAATGTATTTTATGTATTTTTTTTTTAAAAAAATAACAGTTACACTTATATCCCGTGTTTCCTCCAGTGTTCATGGTTTGGCATACACATAGCTCTTCTTTCCACTTTATCCTCACAACAAGCCTGTGAGATACATCAGGTCAAGACAGACTGACAGGGTCAATGGAGACTTGAATCTTCTAGGTCTCTACCATCATCTTCTGGATGGGACATAACATTCCTGGCAGGGGGTTTATTATGTTGGAGCTGTTAAAGGGACAAGCACAATCTCTGGGTAAGAACCCACCCAACTTAATGACTCATGGCGGTCTTGCCCCCTTCCCTTTCGTCAAGATCTCCCCACATAAACATTGCCCCACATTTATTCTCAGCCAGTAGCTGCCAGACAGCTCTTATGAGTCACAGAGATGGTTGTCAATACCCGAGGAGCCATTTTCCCGTTGAACGTTTGCCTTGGTTTTGTCCTCCCTCTTTCCTGAACCATATTTCCTTTCTCTTCCAGCTACTTTTTTCGCGATTAGGAGTAAAGGCCAGTACAAAGAAGAATCAGGATGAAAAGATGGCCGACTTCTTGTTACCACTGGGTTCCAACAGCTTCCACCGGTTCACACCTGAATCCTTGGCTGCCATCGAGAAGCGGATCGCGGAGAAGATCGCTAGGAGCGCCAAGCAGGAATATCGGGAACAGTTGGTCGATGAAGAGAAGCCGCGGCCTCAGTTTGACTTGCAAGCCTGCAAGAAGCTACCCGATATCTACGGGTCTCCTCCATCGGAGCTCATCGGCGAACCCTTGGAGGACATTGATCCTTATTACAGCGATCACAAGGTTAAATCCATCCACTGTGTGGTTATTATTAAAGATAGCAGAAGGGGATTGAAGAGGAGGGCTGTGGACTTCCATATTTCCCCCCCTCCCCAGTCCCAGCACTGGTCTGAATTTTTTTAAAAATACTTTTTTTGGGATTTTGTGGACTAGCACTGGGTCAGACTCCCAGGGCTGCTGTTTTGAAATGGCTGGGGTATAGGTCGGTAAAGTTTGTTTTCATGGTGGGAAGCAGGGCCGTTCAAACACGGTTGGTTGGTCTTGCCCAAGAGCGCCTCTCGGCTTTGTCCCTCCCGTTTATACGGATCTTGCAGCTGACCCGGTCTGAAAATATTTGATGTCCTTGTGGTTCTCTTTCATTTGTTTCTTCGCATTCTTGGCGTCCAAACCCTCTTTCTAGTAATCAGCCCTACCCCTCTCCGATTCTTCCATTTCAGTTCCACCGACGACTGCCCTTTCTCTCCCAAAAGGTTGCCATCTGTTTGGTTTCTGAGCAGAAGCTTGGAAAAGGGTGTTTTTTTTTCCTGGCTGGGAGATTCTGGGAGTTACGGGCCAAAACCAACAGAACGTGGCTTACACTCCACAGAACTTTGCACCCACTAAAACTTAGAAGGTGCGGAAATCCGGAATCGAGTCTACTGGCGAATCTTAGGAAAATATACGGTGTCAGCCATTAATCCCAGCCTTTTAAAAAAAAAAAAAAGCATAAACCTTATTTTTTTGGTTGTGGCAGGGGCACCGGATGCCCCTCCTCCTCTTTCTTACACCCGTGCCTCGAGGTGGCAGACAGTGCCCGTTGCCCCAGATGTGAAAACGGCCAGTTTTGATTCTGCCTGTCATCCTTCCGCAGATGGTTTAATGGGTCTGGTCAGCACTAGGAATTGGACTGAGGCTCTAGGTTTCCAGCAGACATCTGGTTTAATGATAAGGTTTATAAGGAGATAATCACCAGCTCCCTTTCCCCCTCTCTCTGTCTCCCTGATGTTTCCCTGCAAGCAGCAATATATTCCTGCTGCTTGTGGAAGACGTTGCTGGGTTCTGCCTTTGCCACAGTCCCTAACAGCATTTTTTTTTAATTTTATTTTGCTGAGAGACACTATTATAAATTTATGTGCACCTTTTTAAAAAATCATGAAAATTAGAGAGATTCCTAGAAGCAGATCAACGCTTGTGGCTCACGAGCAGTCATTTATAAAAAGTATGTTCCTATAAATGAAACATTTGCAATGAAGTAAGCCATAGGCCAGCCTTCTCCTAAGCTGTTTGCCCTCCAAAGGAGTTGGACTATAATCCCCATCATCCTCGGATAGCGTGGGCGATGCTGTTCTGGCTAAGGTTATGTGGTTTATATAGTCCAACTTCTCTGGAAGCTTGGGAAAGTTCTGGGATAAAACTCTAGAGAATTATCGAAGTACTGTATACTCATTTAAAGGAGCTGGAAAGGCCCTGTTTGTTATAGAGGAAATTCATGGGGTTCTTCTGAGGCCCTTGTTCTTTGTGTAAGGAAGGCTTTCAGCTTTTTCTCCCCCATCCCCCTTTTTTTTTCTAGCAGTGCCTTTTAAGAAAACCGAGTGAGTAGTAAAACTTCTGTAGGTCAACGTCTTCCTCGCTGCCGCATAAAGATGTAATGATGGCAGAAAGCTTACCTTCCTGACTTTTTGCTTGCCGCAGCTTTTGAAGACAGATAAAGCACTCTTTAAAAAGAAAATATTGGCAATACTACTTTGAAAGGCCTCATTGTCAAGACCCAGAGTTGTGTAATCCTGAATTGGGGTGCCAAGGAAGGGTTGGTCCGGATCGTAAAAGCTCTTTTGTTCCTTGAAAGCATGTTTTTAAGTTTCCAGGAAAGCTCTTTTTTCTGCTCCTGAAGTGAAAACAGCAATTTACAGTTGTAAATAAGTGTCCCAAAAAAAGCAACAATGTAAAATGTATTTTGTTTAGCTGATGGAAAGGAAGAAGCAGTGGCTTCACATGCAAGAGGTATTGCGCAAGAAACGAATGTCGTAAAATGGAAATGTTGGCCAGTCCATTTGAAAGGGGATATGAGCCAAGCACCATCTACTATTTTTCCTATGGAACAACACTGTGTCACGTTATTACCAGTGGCTAATCCTTGCCTTGATTTCAGTTTTATTATTAAGGAGACGCATGTGTGTTTACGTTCATGCTAGCTAGTCATGCATCATTTATCATAAAAGCAAAACATTCAGGCTACCAAGAATACTCTTTTGTCTGTGCAACTACGCCTGGTGAACTATCTTTGCACGTAAGCAAGCTGATGCACAATAGCCATTACTTGCAATAATCAATGATATTTCAGTTGAGGAAAAGTCAAAGATGAATAGTTTGGCTTCTAATTTCTGAAGGATCTTGCAATCTGAGCTTTTAATACAGACCTTGAATGTTCTTTCACCCTTTCTTTTGTTTTCCAGACCTTTATAGTGCTGAACAAAGGGAAGACAATCTTTCGATTTAGTGCCACTCCTGCCTTGTATATACTTAGTCCTTTTCATCGAATCAGAAGAGCAGCAATTAAAATTTTGGTACATTCATATCCTTTTAGCTAGAGCTTTTTGCATCAGACCTCCACCTGCTGCAGAATGACACGGAATTGAGGGAATGTGCTCTATTGAATTGCTCTTACTCATCAAAATGTCTTCAGGGTTGCTGCTTGTTGGAATGAAAAACTAGAGATCTACTAAGGGAAGGAGGGAGTGACATATTTATGAATGAAAAAATGCAGCAAAAGTTGTGTGGGGAGGTGCATAGTATGTGCTGAATTCTGCAATATATACAAATGATGCAGTTACCTTGAATTTCCTTATATACTTTTTCTTACTTTGCTTAGCTAAGGGCGTGACTACACCGCGAGAGAAATTAACTCACCTTCTCTCATGGGGAAGCCATACAAGGCCATTCGGTTATCTTTGATAGCAGTGGCCACACAGGAAGTGGAGGGGAAAAAATCCTTCTCATTGCCGTTCTATTGGAAGTGCCTCAAGGGGGCGCAGTTCAAAGGAACTACTTTAAGAAGGCTTTCCATCCTCAGTGACTTTTTTTCAACATCTTGTCCTGCTGATCCGATAGCTAGTTAAGATGTTAAAAATAATAAATAAATAAACAGAAGCACCACCTAAGAAAGCTGTTAAAGAAAGAGAGAAGTGCTTTGGGAAAGAGGCTTTGTTAAAAGAGGTGAGTGCTGGAGTGTGTGTGTGTGTGTGTGTGTGTGTTGGTTTTTCCTTTTTGGATCAGATAAAGTGAAAGGATTTGACTTTTTAAAAGTAGAAGGTCTTTGATGCAGAAGAAAAACTATGGATTGGGGCTCTGGGGTGATTATTTTCTTTTTCTACATCAAGGTGATCCAGTGCTAAACTTGTATATCAATGCAATGACTTAGTGCTAAACTCATTTAACGTTATCTTTGATAGCAGTGGCCACACAGGAAGTGGAGGGGAAAAATCCTTCTCATTGCCATTCTATTGGAAGTGCCTCAAGGGGGCGCAGTTCAAAGGAACTACTTTAAGAAGGCTTTCCATCCTCAGTGACTTTTTTTCGACATCTTGTCCTGCTGATTGGATAGCGCTGTTAAATTAATAAATAAATAAACAGAAGCACCACCTAAGAAAGCTGTTAAAGAAAGAGAGAAGTGCTTTGGGAAAGAGGCTTTGTTAAGAGAGGTGAGTGCTGGAGATCAACACCACCTAACCATGTGCTCTCCTCCCCCATCAATTTGCAAAAAGAAACAATGGCCCACATGGGGAAAAAGTCTTTTCAAATTGTTCCATCTTGGGGGGGGGGGAGAAATAGAATTCCTGCCCCAGTGGCAGAAGAAAAACCTCCAGCAAAAATGGCTGGACTGATCCAGATTGATCTTTGCATCATGTGATCAGTAAAATAAATCAAAACCATCCATTTTATACCTGTAACAAACCCCATGAAATTTGACCATGTAACTGCAGCCCCCTTCTGATCCTGCTTGTCATGAGAAGGGACTATTTAGGAAAACGTTGTTTTCCCTATGATCTCCTAGAGATGTTAATCATCAAGAGGGCTGGTGTGGTCGTTTCTTACAGCTAAAAGAGCAAAGATTCTTGTAGGGCTCCATATAAACCTCTAAAGTGCTATGTAGTTCTTTGTTGTTACTCGTCCACTTATCTGAGCTCTGAAACATCAGATGATGATGTTTTCATAAACCTGTGAGCAGAAGCATTAGGAACTTTTTTTAGACACATGGGCATACCTACCCACCCTTTAAGATTTGTGGGGAGCTGAAATCTATGTCCAGTAGTACATTCTGTACTTTTTGTGTGTGCTTTTGTGGGATATGAGGATGTACACAATCTGGCTGTAAACCATGCCTCTTTACTTAATTTGATCTCTTTGGGAGAAAACAGTGAAAGTGTAGAAAAGTCATAATTATTGGTGTTCCTATACCTTCAAACCATAGAAATTCACCAGATGGATCTTTTCTTGATGTGGAGAAACATCACCTGGCACTTTTGATGCAGAGCCTAGGATTTCTGGGGGAGGATGATGGCCTTTCTGTCTCCTTGGCCTCCCAAAAGCTGTGAGGTGCCCCACTTTTGACTCTGCATCCCAATCTGAAAAGCCTTAAAATTCTTTCTTTATTCCTATCAGAGTGTTGCGCAATTTAAAATTAGGGCTCTAAAAGGAAATATAGGTAAAGCTGAAACAATTTTTGAAACGTTAAAATAATTAGACTTTTTGATCAGAAGCGGGCTACTTCAATAGTGTTATCTCGGCCGTTTAGTAGATCATCTTTAGTACACACGGTGGAGCATAAAACGCATGCAGATAAGGGCTGCATTGACTGATTTTCTCTGCGTTCATGGAGAATGTGTCCTGTATCCATTTTACTCGATCATTGTTTGATTTTCCTACTTTGCTTTGAAGTCTATCAAGTGACTTTGAGGCGGTCCCAACAAAACCTTGTCCTGGTGGGAGACCTTCTTTGGCATAGGTGTGTAACTCTAAATAAGTTGGATAGCACGCCAACAGCCCTAACTGTGCTATGATATTAGTTGTGCAATATGGGGGCACACAGAGGGGTCCCAGTTGTAGCTGCTGAGCTTTACTCCAGAAGCCAAAGGCACGATCTAGCTTTTTTTCTTTTCTTTTAGAGGCAGGAGTGTGGCAGTGGCGTTAAGGTCTTCCCAAACAGCTTCCTGTGATGTCGAACATGCTCTAAGTACATATCTCAGCTAGCTGGTGGCCCCAAAAGGCCAACCGCCACCTAGGGATGTGTAATTTCTTTGCCTGATAGCAAGTGCTGTGTTAGTTATTGCAAACACAGGAGAGGGGAATGATAGTGAGATTCTGGTTGATAGCACAAGAGAAGGAGGACGAATAATGGAAGGTGGGTGGAGCAGGAACTGAAGAAAGAAGAAGAAGGAGAAGTAGCAGCAGGGTGTTTTCGGAAGCTTTGTCGGGAGACAAGTGAATATTTGTTGTTGTTTAGCTGAAGTGGAATATACCTAGGCATTATAGGAACATGGGATGAGCATTGGTTGGGAAGCAACAGCCCAGTGGAGCAGAGGAGACGATCCTTGCCTCTTTAAGGCTGCAATCTTATGTGCACTTACCTAAGACATAATAGGCTCTATTGTTGTTGTTTAGTTGTGTCCGACTCTTCGTGACCCCATGGGCCAGAGCATGCCAGGCCCTCTTGTCTTCCACTGCCTCCCGGAGTTGGGTCAAATTCATGTTGGTCGCTTTGATGACCCTGTCCAACCAT